CTGCATTTACCAATGTGGCTTGTAAAGTTAACGGCATGACTCAAATTCACTGCTAAATTCTATGGACCCCATATGGTCTCCTCTAAATACCGTAGAGAAATGTATGGTTTGTCGTACGCGGAAAATACACGGGCTGCAGTTTTGAAATCCTGAGTGAAAGTGTAACGTCAGGTCGCGATTCAAAATGATTGGGAAATCGGAAAGGTTTTTAAAAACCGAATTACACCCTTCCTTCCAGTATAAAATTGAAAGAAGACGTTATTTTCTACCTAATGATCAAAAGAACGAGTATTTTCATGCACGTTTTTAAGACATCGAAAATCAATGAGAAAAATACATGCTACATAAGTAGTCATTTTTTACTGATTATATTGTCGCACGTTGCCAGAAACAAGTTCCCTTGAAAGCTGGCATGCTAAGTTAACTGAATTATTATAGAATTATGCTGCATGGTGATCAGTTTACAACCGTACTTAATTAATCTTCTCGAAGCGAGAATGCATTTTGGAATTTCGTTTGACATTTCACGAGTAACCTACCTACTGTATGCCTTGATCTCTAACGAAGTGGAAGCGCGATGGCTAGTAAATAGGGCACTAATTATTTTCAAATTCATTCCGCTAAGGCATGAAATGTCATTGTCTTCGTTTGTGGTGATGATGACCCGTATGCTTCAGCGAATTGTGCAAGTTTGTTCGAAGTCCGTACTTGGTGTCCTTAAATAGGGTGGTTTCGCGGTTCAGAGTATTGTCAAATTCCACTGCAGCATGTCGACAGAAAACGGCTAGATATACACCGAAATGTCGGTGCATAGGGGTTTATACTCAGTCCAGAATTCGCCCACAAATAGTGATTGTTGATTTAATAAAGGAAGAGAAAGAATGGATTTATTTTAAAAGTGTAATTGAAAAATTTAGGAAAAAACGCCCTTAGCTTACCGCGGATAAATATGAGTACGCGAAATAAATAACACTGGAGGATTACAAATACGACATATCAGCCGAAAACTGCAACTGTTGGCGCCACTTAGAATCGTTGGTAAATTCGTTGGTAATTGTACGTCAGTTTGTACTTCTTTCGAAACGGCGCTAGTGTAGTGTACATATGACCTCATAATTGGAATTCAGACAAACAAAGAGGATGGAGATGAGTATGAAGCGAGTAAAATAGGCCAATCGATGTATAATCAAAATGAATACAACGTGAACAAAGAGCAGGAGGGTTACGGTTCAAATCCAAAAGGCCGTTCGTGGAGTAGGTGAGGTTCGTAGCATGTCTGAACAACCCGTACTTCTAGTAGTAGGATCTGAATTAGACCCCAAACGTCGAATTCAATTTATCGTACGCCACAGATACTGATAGATATGTTTTATTTAGCGTTTTATGATTTCTAGGGGAATCCGCATGAATCCATTTATTGGGTCCCATACCGTCTCGTGCTAGTGTACACGTTTATGTCGTCCGCCAAAATAGTGCGTGAGCCGAACCTTTAAACTCAAAAAATAAACTGACCATACCTTCGGTTTCCAGAGAACAAGGATCCTAGACTGAGCGACTTACACCCTAGACGCACTGCTCAGATGTCAGTTCAATCGATCGGCACATCGAATTCTCTTCGACTTATTAGATTTTGCACACTGCCCTTGTAAGAATCAAATAAGGATGACTACTGCAGGTTTGACGAGAAATTAAGCAAATTCAGCCAGAGAGGATCTGATCACCAGTACATTAAACTAGGAAGCCAACAAACCACTAGGCCCAACATTTACGTAGGCAGGCTCGTTCATTACCCACCCGCTAACCACACAAGTGGCGACCAGAGACCAGGGAAACAGAATCAGAAAAATTATGCCAGAAACAAACGATCCACTATCCCCAAGGGTCACTTTAAATGCATTTTGATTCAGTTGTTTAAAGTGGGTCTTGACATTGGGCAGCATACTCAATAGTTCAAAGGATTGGACAAACTAGTTTCCTACCCCATGGAACTAGTACGGCTTCACATAATTTTGTAATTTTCCAGCATGGACAAGGGACTGATTATTTTTTCATGAAAAACATTTTAGGCCATGTACAGAAAATGACTAAGCCCTACATGCCCGCCCCACCGCCGGTTTTCTTCCATTAGTTAAATGTGTCCTATGTTTTTGTTGCTTCGTTTTTCAGACCACTTACGGAAGTCTGACAGACCTGTTCAAACGAAAAAAACGATTATCTTTTTGGCTTTCAAAAGTGCAAGTGAATGGAGACAGAGGTTTTGAATTTCGAGCTTTGCCATGGGGAGAAATGTCAAGATGAAATGCACGCTACTGCGCATTTTAATACTTACCCACTAAGCGAGGCCTAGGTAAGTGTGGAGAATAAGATTTCGAGGTCATTGCTCAGTCAGATAGATAAAGGCTACATAAAAGAAGTCGTTTCAGTTTGCAGCTACAAGTTCAGACACGTATTTCATCGATGTCTTTGCTCCTGCGTGATACAGATACACTAGCCTTCCCTTTGCTAGTTTCTGACGCACATAAATATGGACCTCGAACACGCACGAACCTCGTCGGGAATCATTCGAGTTGTACTCGAGTTCTGACGAGCCTTCTCCCTTTACCATATCCTCTTGGAATGAACAGCACCTCACTTGTTCAATATGACATATATGTATTTCGATAAAAAATTAGTCCTTTGGGAAATTAGACAAACTTTATTTCGTAACTTTTCGACCCTGGTTGTCCAGGTCATCTTCAAACGTGTAGAAAGCGTGAAAAACAGTTAACATTTTAACATGCCTAAAACATCGATATTGCTTTTGTAGTGCTGCGAATGAGTCAGTGTTGTGGACTGACTTCACGCTTTGATTGGCTATCACCTTTTCCATTTATCTTTAAGTTTTGTTTACATGGCGTCCAGATCGATGCGCCCATTGATGCATGAATTGTCAGAGTGAATGACCTCTAGAAATTCTCGGTTTTCCTTATATGGCTCAATCTGGTTTCCCAAAATGCCTACCCTAGAGATTTCGTACGCCGATGCATGAGACGGCAGGAATCAAAAGAGGGAGATAAGGAACTAGATTTCTTCGATTGAGCGCCAAGAGAGAAATATTGGCGGACGCTTCCTTAGGTAAAAATGTGTCTGAACTCGTTGACAGACACCTAAAGAAGCACCAAATACAAGTGGCACAAAAACCTACGACTACGTCCCGCAGTCAGCTCGTACACCCTAAAGATAGGGTTGGCTATTTGGATAAAAAGAATTCGTCTATAAGATTCCACGTGACGCCGTTTTATACTGTGGTCAAACCGGGAAATCCACCTCTACACGCCTGCATGAGCACAAATTGGCAGTAAAGAGGCGGTACCACTTTTCGCAAGTCGCTATGTATACTCTAGAAAGCGGACACAACTTTGTCTGGGATAAAACAAGGCATTGTCGAATCCTGTTCATATAAGGAAGACCGAGACTTTCAAAAAACCATTCACTCCGAAAATTCATGCATCAATCGGCGCATCGATCAGGACGTCATGTACACAAATCTCAAAGAAAAATGGAAAAGGTGATGGCCAATCAAAGCGTAACGTCAACCCACAGCACCGACCGATTCGCAGCACTGACAAAGCAATATCGATTTTTCGGCATGTTTAAATTTTAACTGTTTTTCACGTTTTCTACACGTCTGACGATGACCTGGGCAACCGGGGTCGAAAATTTTCGAAATAAAGTTTGCTCACTTTCTAAAAGGACTCATTTTTCTTCGAATTATATTTCTTGCGATGTTCATCTTCCAATATATACATATTTATCGACATGGCTGAAAATTCGAGGTCCAGATAAATTATCCCGTCCATCGCCTTCAAAGGAAGACGAAGAAGAAAAAGGGCGATCCCATTGACCACACTGTATTTCTGATGACGTTTCGGAGACTTCTTCGTTTCCATTATTAGGGTAAATGTTGTAAAGGACGGCTACTGAGAGGATAAAACCACGGTATACCATAGGGCGGCGAATACTAGACACATCATTCAATTCCGAAGTAACCACCCTATTGGTCACACACGCGCAGTTGTGTCAGAACTCTCTTCCAACAAGTTTAAACGCACAGTAGTAGTGAAGACAGGAAAAAGGAGGAAGCAAAATATCTACATTCCTTATTCACAGCCAATGATTACTCACGATCCTGCATACGCAAGTGACGAAGTAAGCCTACCCGTGAGCGATCTAACGGTAAGAAGACGAAGTTTTGGTCCGCGATCCCCTACGTGAGGAATTTTTCGGAGGCGAAAGCAAGGATCCTGAACCCTTCGGGATTTGGATGGCCCATAAACCGGTATACACTATCAAACAGCAGATAATGAGACCCAGAGACCCGCTACCGGCAACGGAAATATAAGCAGTGGTTTACAGCATACCGTGCCAAAATTGCAATGCGAGGTATGTTGTTGAAACATGCAAACGCCTCTGCACAAGATTGCATGAGCACCAACTTTTAGTCAACCGCGAGGATAGACTGTCACTGGTATATGGTCTAATGCAACAGGAGAAACACAGTATCGCCTTTGGAGAGGCAAGCGTCATCGGTCGAGCCAATGACAAGATGGTCAGACTGGTGCTCGAAGTTGGTCCTCAGTTGGCACAATCAACAAGACTATTGACCTTCATCCGGTCTATCAGGCATTACGTACAAGGTTCCAGTCAATCCAGACCATGCCGACAGCACTGACGAATGAGTCGCAGGTTCTCCAGCAGTTGTCACGCTCACAGTAGGGGGAAAGAGCTAGCCGGAGATCACACGACCGACGCGAGAAATCGACCCACGGACGCGCGCAAACAGTCGGGCGTAATTTGAACATGCAACGGCAGCTGATTAGCCCATCCGGTCATGGGGAGAGGGTTTACGGACACATAGACCTTGCAGCGACTACGACAGCCGTGCAGGGGACAGAGGTCACACGAGCGCGCCAACGGTCGTCCACGGAGAGACCAAATCCAATCCCCAGCCAGAAGGCAGGTCAGAGTTCGTGCGTCAGGTATGTCTATAACAAAAGACAAGCGGCGAGACAGAACAACTCTATGCTAGCAGGACCAGACATACCACCACTCTGATGATGGAAACGAAGATGTTTCCGAAACATCAGCGCCAATACAATGGTTCATGAAATCGCCTCCCTTAATTCGTCTTTTTTTAAATAATGAGGGGGATATATATATATATATATATATATATATATATATGGGAAGAATGGAATTACGGACAAAGACAAGGGAGACTAGAATTGTCATTTCTGACTTATAAGATGTAGTCAGCCAGTCACACCCAACCCCGAAGTTTGGAACAGAGGGGGGGGGTCGGTCCCGCGACCTGCTGGTAGGAATTCCATCGCCTCTAACCACTGAGCCACGAGCTCGTTGTCCTGTCGGTTGCGATCGGGAATGTACAAAGGATAACAGGTCGCGCGACCGAGCCTCAGCCGTTTTACATTTCTGGGTTGGGTATAGCTGGCCGATGACGGTTAATAAGCCAGAAATGGCCATTCCAGTCTCCATTGTCTTTGTTGGTAATGCTATTCTGCATAGATATACATGTTTGAAGACCCTTACCTTTACTGGAGCTGTGTACGAACAAGCCGAAGGTATACCGATGGGGTCGCTGTTATCCAGCTTGATTGTTGACGCAGCGTTACAACGACTGGAAGTCCTGCTGTGGGAGCGGTATGTTGGTGGCACATCTTCCATTATCAGGTGGTACAGAATTGGTGAATTCTCGAGACATCTGAACTCCATCTTCCCAGATAAAAGATTGCCAGTCGCCATTTCTCGACGTACTGGTCCACGTAAAAGGCGATGAGGAACAGAAAACAACGGCTTACAGGAAAGTGACGAATACGTGTCGCATTCTAAGTTCTCTTTAGTACAAACGCGGCTAGGTGAGAACACTCTACCCTCGCATGCGTTCGTTTTGCGCCCCCCTGCTGTGAACATCGTCAACGTCAGTCGAACTTTCATTGTATGCTCAACTCAGCGACGAATTTTAAACTGCTGTCCCTTTGTGTACATTAATCAGAGGAATCAAGGAGACGGTTGTGATTGGACAACAGATGCCAAGTTCATCTAACACTCTCGAAACGACTATTTTCAACAAACCCTGCCATAGGGTCTTATGTGTGAAGTACAAGCTCAGCCGAATGACGAGGGCAAGATTTTTGGGAACGAACTAGCTCAATTAGTACATCGAGGTCTTATTCAACTGTTTGCAAGAGCGGTCCGTTCTCTAAAGACAATGAGACGAAACTTCTTCTTCTTCTTCATCATCGTCATCGTCGTCGTCGTCGTCGTCATCATCATCATCATCGTCGTCGTCGTCGTCGTCATCATCATCATCATCATCATCATCAGCAGCAGCAGCAGCAGCAGCAGCATCATCATCATCACCACCAAAATCACCACTATCACCGCCGCCGCCGCCGCCGCCACCATCACCACCACCCTCACATTATCATTATCATCACCACCGAGCCAGTCCCTCCCGGCGATGCAGACTTTTGATAAGGCAGACCAGGAGCGACAACTCCGAAACATACACTGTGGAGCTTGTTTAGATGCCTACGATTCTGTCCAGAATCCCAGCTGACGTACAGATAGGATCGCAAGGCGTGACAGGTAGAGGAGGGGGTGGGACAAGGCCGACTCCAAGTAACTTGTCCAGATTTCACGAGACGGGATGCATTTTTGTTGATTGTTTTTGGGGTTTACAGACAACTGTCACGTTATGCCAGCCAGTAGTGGCACGTGATTCTCTGCAGCCATAACACACCCAAACTAACCTCCGGGAGAACTCAAATATAGCAGATGTGTACGTGTGTTTTCGATGGCTGTAAAAGACAGCCTTCCAAGGTGTGGTTGAAAACAGATTGGCTGCCACGATGTCATTGTTATGAAGAATGGGCGAATTCTAGAGTTTGTTGAGAGACTCAGTTCAACAACTCACGCACGCTGGATGCCGCAACTACTGAGCTACTGCAACCGCGCCTGCCAGCTGCGTTCAGTTACTGACGATTGATAACAACTCAGCGGACTCCAGAGGTTCCTACTCTGAAATCCGCAAGAAGACGTATTGCTTTCAACGTTGGCCAGTCCCATTTCCCAACGTCTATTTTTCTATTCGTTAGCATTTTTAGCAGTAGTGTGGTCTTACCGACAAAGACAAGGGAGACTGGAATGGCCATTTCTGGCTTATTAGCCGTCGTCAGCCAGCCATACCCAAGCCCGAAGTGTGGAATACCCGAGGCTCGAACTCGCGACCTGTTAGTTAGAAATCCACGCCTCTAAACACTGGGCCACGAGCCCGTTGCCCTGTCGGTTTTGATCGGGAATATACAATGGTAGAGGGCGCTCACCGATGGTTTTTACGGAACTCACTCGTCCGTTGTGCCTTACGGACTCTCTCTCGAGCCCAAACAGCAGCCGTACAACAGGGCATGACATATAGGCAGTATGGTATGACCAAAAAAGACAAGGGAGACTGGAATGGCCATTTCTGGCTTATTAGCCGTCGTCAGCCAGTCATACCCCACCTATATCATGTGGTACACACTTCTACCCAACCAATCATGCCTATGTCATGCGCCGCTGTGCGGCTGCTGGTTGGGCTCGAGAGAGAGTCCGTAAGAAACATCGGTGAGCTCCCCCTTCCATTATATTTAACAGTATTTGTCATTGTTTCGTAAGTTTCCACAGTTGGAGAATGCGGCATTACCATTTCGACTGCGAGCAATAAACGACTGGAACTGAGGAGATTTTGTCAGCAGACATTTGTTTTCATTCACGCATCCGATTCATGCAGCCTTCTTACACAAGGAGATAATCGGTCTCGCTGATATGTACACCTGAGGGGAAAAACCATTTGGCCAAATTTGGGAGGAGGAAAAAAAGGATACAAGGAGTCAGTTAATTCAGCCACGCAAAACCGTGGGCCATCAAGATGAAAACGAGCCATTCACAAAGGCGTTGCAGACGGGCTCCACACTGAGGTCGATTAATAGACCAACCGGGCAAGATGGAGGATTCTAAAACGAAGAGGATGATGGTTGACCCTGTTAGTAGTGCGTCTGAAAGATGCAAGTAAATAACCCCTTTATTTAAACCAAAATGCCCCTCTAAATGTTAAGCGGAGTAACGTAACACCAATGGCGTGCTGGGATAACTTATCTGCAGTATGCCTTTTTGTCTGTAGCAAACAGATGCGTTTCATTGGATTCTGCCAGAAGTGACGATAGTACTGTCGTGCCAAAATAACCTGGGATGTGCGGTCGCAGAGACCTACGCTTTCCTTTCCACATTATTCAGCAGCTGGTAGGACACATGGGAATATGGACTCCCCATATCACGGGTGGCCGTGCGTTAAGTACCAGGAGGGTTAGT